GGAGATCCGCATTATTTGGGCACCCATGTTACACTCATCGCCGCAAAGATTTTTCAGAGATTTAAGACCATCGGACATGATATTACCAAGCCAAGGATACTATAATTTGAGTTTTGTATCGGTCAAGAAACTAAACAGTAAATCATAGCTCTCGTTTTTTTATATTTTATAGATGTTACTCTTTTAATTACTCGTTTCAATATTATATATAAAGAGAAGATCACAACTCTAATAAATGTTATACGAAGCAAAGAAAGTAACACTGCTCTTTTAAAACTGGAGTTGTACTGTCTATTATATAGTGTAAAGCGCATAGAGCCTGCTGTTGAGCAGGGATATGCGCTATACAAATGCTATCTATTATTATTATTATTATATTCGTCTGCCTTATCTAAAATAATGTAAATGTATTATCAAAACAATTTTCTTCACCGAGTGTGCATGATTAATAAAATGCATGTCATAAACTACTTGCAAATCTCTACGTAATATACAAGGCAGGTCGGAACAGTATCATATTTCAGAGTTATCGATTCGTAGGATTAAATGTTGAGTAACTGGAGCACAGTTCGTTAAGTGCACGGCTAATTTACTTAAAATTGTTCGCTTCAAGGTATTAAACGTTTGCCTCTACTGCATGACGGACAAATGAACGGACGAACCCCTATCTTATTTTGGGCCTCTCCTGAAGATACATCTAAACCAAAAACAGGAGGAGAGCCTTGACCCGACCATCCCCACCCCTGCCCACACCTTTATACACGCACACATACACACATACACACACACACACACACACACACACAAACACACACATGCAAAAACATTCATGAATGCTCAAAGGAAGCGCTCACAATCGCATGCAGGATACAAAAAACAAACAAACAACGAAAATATGTTATTATGTATGAGATGTATCTTTACTACATTATAATAATGATTCCAAGGAAACACAGGACGCTTCGGCCTCTAAAAAGATCTTAAAGATCATTTAGGTTGTCTTAAAAATCAAACAATAAATAAATTACCCCCCCAACCCCCCCTACAAACAAACAAAAAAACAAAAACAAAAAACAAACAGAACAACAAAAAAAAAACAACAACCAAAAGCAGAACCAAAACAAAAGGAAAACCAAACGTATCTTTTAAACAACAAGCACGCTTATATATAATATTTACTCTTTGTTTGAAAACCATAAGGATGATGCTGGCTGCTATTACGTTAACCAATTCGTGAAAGCACACATATTATAAATCAGAGGTTTTACAACTCAATTCCCATCAACTCAGAGGCAACCCTCCCCACCCCCCCCCCAAACAACTAACATGAACAACAAGAAAACCCCCACAAATACCCCCCGAAACAAAAACAATAACAAACAAACAAACACGCAAACTACAATGTTCACATCTTTCTTCATAGAAAGCAAACGACGGCCAGGCAGATGTTCACAATATTATGTCCTGTGCCCAACATCCAGAAAATAAAAGATTTTCAGAACATTTTCGTAATCTATGGTATCGGTTGCATGTGCTCGGGACATATTGTTGAATTTCAAACTTCAAATGTAGAAGAAAATAAGACAAGATTATTATAATGCAGATGCAGTTTTTAAAAGAATGACACCTTTTTTCCCTTGTCCTGGGATATTTTGCTTTCTAGGCTTAGAACAGTAATGCAACTTGCCGACAAGAAGCAAATTCCGTCCCTTCCCTCGTATATCATAGTTACTGAGGAGTTCACTGGTCAATTTGTTCATTCGCAAGGCTACCTCAGAATTTCTGTCTGCTCAGTACCTAGTTTTAAGAAATTTGACGTCAAGCATTTTGAGTTTCTCGTGTCTTTTCCAGATGCAATTTTTTAAAAATGTCTTGATTATGACTCCGAATAATCTAACAATTTTGATAGAGAAGATAGGCAATTTATTGGTTTCTGACCCCATGATCTTAGTAACTCCAAACGGCCAAAATGTCAGATAAGACTTCATCATTCTGAGGTGTCATTGCGCTCCGTCCTTTATAGCGTCTCAAAGCCAAATGAGTACCACGGTTGTAATTTTAATGATAGTATTTCCTTACTTGCGTTTGCCATCATTTTAGAACGCATTTCGTTATACTTCCAGGGAAGCTGAGAAGGTTTCTCAGTGATCTGAGTCTGCTGGGTTAATAATATAGATTATAAAACACATAAAGGTTTCTGCTGTGAGAAGAAATGCACTATATTCATGACATACCCGTGTGGCACGGCAGTGTTGGACCCGACCGTTTATTTTGGAAGGCCCACCTTTTAAATATCTTCACCAAGCTGAAAGTGCTGTAATACCTACAATAATATACTACACAAGTCCAAAACTGACGTAAGCGGGGAAATTGCTAGGCTCCCACTGTTTCATGCAAAAGACATGGTGCGATTCCTAAGTGGGAAAGTTAAAGTATCTAATCAAGTATAAATTATACGTTTGTTGAGCAGAAGCTGTATCCCATTTATCCACGTGTTTTTTCTGACTGGCAATCTGTCAAGCCCGCATCCTTTCTGATCTAAATTGTGTCATGGACTAAATGTACAATATTTCTTTTTAAAAAAGAACATCCCAAAGTTTAAAATGACCAGAAAAATACAGTAGCAAAACAGGCGAGAGGAGGATTTTAATAATGGCTGTAACACCTCGATATTAGGGACTCATAGGCGCCAGAGAATACTCTGTAGTTCCCCCACTTCTCTCTTTCTCTCTACCCCTCTTCATTCTCACTTTCACCCTCCCTCTTTTTTCTCTTTCTGTCTCTCTTACATAAAGATATTTCTGTGACCTATATTTGGTACTTCCATTTTTCTGTAGCTATTTCTATGGAGATGGTTGTGCCAGCTAAAAGGTGGGCAAAGACAAAGGAGGTTGTTCCAGAATTGACACTGGCCAACATAATAGGTCGTGGGGTTAGTATGCCTTTCGACGTTGTGTTCTATGCTTATATTCGGACCTCCTATGTTATGGTCCACTTTTAAGTAAGTGGGTAAACTTTGAAAACTCCATAAACGTTACAAGTTCAAATATGCCTCTTTGTCGATTAAAACCACTGTTAGCCGCTACTAAATTTCATCGTTATACTAACTGTCGTAATAGTGCACTCTGTACAGCTCGCTCCTAGAAGGAGAGTGTTTATTTTATCTTCACTCAATACCCACAAATGTATTTTCAGATTTAGAGCCTTCAAACTAACCCCCCTCCGTTTATTAAAAATAAATGAACAGCAACCCAATTTTACCCCCCCCCCTCCCGCCCCCATCTCCATCCCCGGCAGGATCTCAAACAGATTCGAATCGAGTCTCCCATACCGTGGCCCAGTGTGGTAAGAAAATAAGACTGGGTAACTACATTTTGTACATTAATCTACCTTATTCTTGGATCTCTAGTTCTAAGGTATCTCTACCCTTCCTTCACTCCCCACGAGGGTAACGGCTAAAGATCTGTTTGAACTGAGCACGATATGTGGAACTCATACTGTAATATACGAAAATGTTTACGCTAGAATTGACCACAGACAATAAACTAGCGACTGACCACACCACACCGTGCCAGTTGGCGTAACGACCCATCACAGACAGCTCTGGCACGATGGACGCCGCGATCAGATTTGCCACACCAGGGCCTGAAGACACGATCAAGATGACTGAGATAAAGACGACCATGCGTACCAGCCGAGCCTCCCTTGTCGACAGTCCGCCACTCTTCTCCTTCTTCGTCTCACCACCGAAAGCGGAAGTGCTTGAACGCCATTTTGCCTGTTTCCTCAATCGAACAATCATGAAGGAAGTAAAAAATACAACTAAGATGAAGGAGACGCATTGGATCGTGTTACCGTATGAAAACGCTACTTTGCGTCTGGCGTTTCTGAGGCCATTGTCAAAAACGTGGAGAAGTGTTCTGTTGGTGTTCTTCTCTTTGGCCCACGCGAAGTCGACCCCGGTGTAGAGAATGCTCCACGAGCTCACGACAGTGGCAAAAATGAATATCATGGCGAGTGAAGTGGTTCTACGAGTGATCAGACGCTTGATTCTTAAAGGTGCAACAATGCAGAGACATCTCTCTATGGTGATAAAGGCTGTGATACAGCCAGTGATCCTCGTGAAGCAGACACTGGACCAAGCCATGGCAAACATCAGAGATGACCGTGTGAAGAGCATCGCGTCAGACTTCAGGAAAATCGGGTTGTAGCAAATGGCGAGAAATATCCAGGTCAACAGGACGCCAATGTCTGAAATCGCCAAAGCAGTAAGACTTATGTTGATGGTTTCGCGAAAACCTTGGCGTAGGAAGACCAGCAGATTGATGCAGTTGGCCACAACACCCATTACGCCAATAACAGTACTGAGGATAGCCACCAGGACCACTTCCACCATCTCCCTTGTGTGGGTGCTCAGCATACCTGTACTATCCGCGGAGCCGCTAGGGGTATGTTGATCGGCAGCGCTTGCGCTCATCAGACTGAAGTTGCTGCTGTCGCTCTGCCCTGTTGCCACCTCCATAGTGAAACAAATTGCTGTCTGCTTGTTTCACGTATCCAGACTCAACTGTTTATCTGTTTGTACGATCTCCACTCTATTTTTTTTTAGATGATGTTTAAGACAAAATGGCCGCAGAATTTGAACTTTAAAATTGGATTATAAAATATTGTAACTTTAGATTACGGTATCTGAAAATCGTTTTTTTTCGCAAACAAAGGTTTGGCTACGTTCCGTTTTCTGTTTCGGCGGAGTGCAGACAAATCTAAGATTTATTGAAATATTTCTCTACCGTTTTAAAGAACTTTAGCTACAAAGACTTTTCCCTTTACTTTTAAATAAATCCGTGAGATGTGACAGTTGTCAGTATTATTCACACTGTTTACGGTATTTGACTTGCACATTCAATGATTTCATTAAACAACAATGATCTTCAATTTTGCCGTTTTCATGGAAGCATTTAAAATTAGCAATGACGTCTAAGAGCGTCCCAATCTAAATATCCAATGTTGCAGCACTAAATAGTTAATTTTACATGTGACAGGTCGACGACCCAAGCAGGTTTGGCAGAATCTATTGTTCAGAATCTAAACTTTTATTTACCTTTCAAATTCTAGACCGCCTTGAAATCATTGTTTTTACTCGCTAAAAATGTCATGTCATACCGCCCCACTTTGTCCCTTTTCAAGTTTAAGGTTACTGATTGCAGTAATAATATAATTTTGTGAGAGTTTATTTCGCATAAGCGCTTGGTAGGGTCGGAATGTCTATAAACTATTTCGAAGACCAGTTCGACATACGTTATTTAAAAAGCACTTTTAGTCAAACACTTTATTGGTTACAAGAAGTCGAACAAGCCCTTTATGATTATTTGCGTCACAATTTTCAAAGTGACATCAATGGCTGTCATCCATTCAATATCCGTTTAGAAACTCTGGCCAAACAACATTAACCCTTTCATACCAAACTTTGTATTTTATATTTTAGAATAGGTATGCCTAGAAATCCTTTCAGAACACTGTTACTTAAAAAGAAAAACACTAAAGTAATAACTCTATGACTGATTGCAATATTGAACACGAAACTCTAGTTTTAGACAAATAACCAGTTTGGAAACATACCTATATGCGTCCACATCGTAATAGAAGGGTTAAGAAAAACTTTCTTTACTTTGCAGTCAATTTTCTAAAACCTCAAGGATGTTTATGCAGCAATCACTTTTAGCTGATAAATTCACTCCAGAAGAAATAATAACGGTGACAGGATAATAACGGCAGTAATAGCAGTAAAGGCGAGAGACAGGCAGCCCGGTGGTTTGTACATGCTCCCCTGATGGGAGGACGCTCGCTCGTTATCTCATCATGGGAAAATGGACGGAAATCTGCGCCGAGTGATTCAACTGATGAAAGCTCATCGATGTTAGAACGGGAAAGAAACTTTCAACTGATGGATTGCTCGTCCATCCTGTTAAAGCTTGTATTTCACCTCGGCAGTGAAAGCGAGTGGGAGAAAGGTCAATCTTTTCCTCCTGTTTTGTTATCGGCCACCGTAGATAGGAATCCGAGGATGCAATGAACGAGTGTTGAGGCGCTCTTTCATGGTTTACTAGCTCCATGATCACGTGTCTTGACGTGCGTACATAAATAAGGTGCAAAAGTTGGGCTGTGTCAAGTTCAACACTCTTTGTTCGCCCTTTTACTCTCTGTTTGTAATGCACTTACATTTGTAATATATCATAATCTATCATAGACAGAGAGGAGCTGTTTTAACATCCTTTCTGTGTGTCTACGAAGTGAAAACAGATTGAAAGAGTGGAGTAAAACCCTCAACGATGCTCCACCTTTTCTTTTTATTGGACTTTTCATCATCAACATTTAAAGTGAAACAAAGTAAGGCCATACTATGAAACACGCTGTGAGTTGGTCTGTTTTCAGGAGAAAGCATGTCAACCAAGGAGATTAAATAAAATAGCCACGATGCGAATAATCTGGGTTTATGCCTTGATTCTGATATTGCTTTTCTTGCTTTATATCAATCCATTGGTGCGCATTGTCATTATAAGACATCAGTTCAGTTCAACCAACAATGAACAATGGTGTGACAACATACTATCAAGCAATATTTATGTGACGATGCTTTTTGGATTTATAGAACAGTGTTCAAACGGGAATCAAGCTTAAAATTAATTCTTTAAAGTGTGTGCTGTTTTTTTCTGGTTGTGAGGCGCACTGCTAGCCCAGCTGTTTTCTTGAGGACTGCAGCGAGGGTGACTTTTGTCCTCTACCACATTCTCACAAGCAAAATGTTTCTTGATCTTTTTAATGTTTGCGGAGTTTTCACGGCTCTTCCAAAAAGTGGACTTTAAGGCGATCGTCGATAAATGAGAAGCCAAGTCATTTTCCCAAAGCTTTTCTGTGTTGAAAAGAGCGTATTTCCCATACAAATACGATCTTTATGTCGCTCTATATCGGTGCTTGTCAGCTAGGGTGATATCATCGCCCCTTAGAGAGCGATTTGATAATTTTGGCGGGCAGTGGGGATCACTCGAGTATAGTGATATGCATTATTTATTACCCTGCTTACAAATAGCAGGGACCTGTTTATGAGTGGTAGGAATTTTAGCCTTTTAAATGTTGCAACGTAAACGCTGGCTGTAAACATGTTGACAAGTACTAATCTAATAATTATACTCAATTTACCTTGACATAGATGTCTTGTTTCTCTGCCCATTCTGGGGCGTGGCGGAGGTAGAGCCACCACATCCGGGTCGTCCAGGGTCGAAGGTCACCGCCTTCTGGAGCGCTCTGTAGGAAGTCAGGGAAGTGGCACGTCTCTCGAGACACTGTCGACAGCACAGATGGATGAGAATGTAAGGTGAAAGGTTACAGGTCAGGGAACAAAACCATTATGTACATGTTTGTAAAACAAAAAGCAGTACTACAAGTAAATTGCTACGAATTATTCTTTTTGGTAAGTGTATTTTTGAGTGTGTATTTGCCTTTGTGTGTGTAAGTGTGTAAGTGTGTGTGTGTGTGTGTGTGTGTGTGTGTGTGTGTGTGTGTGTGTGTGTGTGTGTGTGTGTCTGATACGTCTCTCGTTTGTCTAGGACGTCACCCACAATGCATAAGAGCAAGAATTTTTTACACTTTGTCACAATAATAATGTTGGCCTTTCTCCCAGCTTATGTTTTTCTAAGGCAAAGGGTTACTGAGCGACTACCAGGACTCAGGGCGCAGGTTTTTTTAAAGTTAGCTGCACGTGATGTAGTGACGTAAACTGTTGGGATCCTTATACGCCGGGAAGGTGGGGAAGGGTTGGGAGAGTCGAACAGCAATTACATTTCTTTAGATCGGAATCAGGGGTGGGCAGTTACAATCGTATTTAGATCTATGTAAAATTGAAACCTTTTAAGATTTTTTTAAAACTTTAACGATTCCATCAAATCCATAATTGTTGACAGCACTTTGATTTCCCGGCTTTCTCCCCTATATTTTCATTTTCATGGTGTTTTCCCGACCAGAAAATCTGAAAATGAAATTCCTGGCTTTTCCCTGTTTCCTGGTTGATTGGGAACCCTGTTTTATATATATTGACCAATAAGCACAAAACAGGCTTCTCTCAAGTAGAAAGTTTCTATTGCCGCAGTATATATTTTGTACACCGAGACTTCAGACCAACGTCTCGTCAGATTTCACACATGAACCTGTCCATGCTCAACAGATGGCACAGTGCTAACAGGCACAGGGTTGAGAGGTTGTCTTGCCTGAAGAGAAAGAGAGCACTGCCCACTCCCCAGTGACCATCCACTGGCTGCTCTCCTTCTCTGCCACTTCTGCCTGACCCTTTTTCAGACCAGTTACTGAATTACTCTTCAGTGCCCTAAGTGCACACAGAGGAGCTGGTAGAAATCCCCTTAAACTCGTCTGGAAATCGGTTGTATAATCCCACTTCAAATCTCCTACAAGTTTTCTGTAGTTCAAGTCTCCTTTAAATATAACGAGGTCTGCTTGGGAAAGTTGTTGATAGAGGGCAGGGTTCAGTTCTTCCATCTGAGCATAGTCATTAGGCATGGTCCAGTAGTTGTCCACCTCTATGATCCAGGTCTTATCATTGAGGCGCTGCTTCCACTTTTGTGCCAGCTGGCTCATAGCAATGTGGTTCATGGCAGACATCTGGTGAAGAGTCCAATTGAAGTCTTTTTCTGTGACATCAGAGACAAACCAAGGCATAGCTTTGATATGAAAATGAACTGATGTTGCTAGTCCAGAACTCAACAAAAATTCTGCCAGGCACCAGTCTGATAGGAGTTCAAAGCCAGCATTATCCATGACAATGTCAACTCGTCCTGAAAAAGAGATATAAAGGCATGACTCCACAGGAAAAAACATGACAGTATTCATTACAGTTAAACCCAGTGAAACCGCCATCTCTCTCCCCAACCCTGTTATTACAATAATAATAATAATAACTGCATTTATATTGCGCACCTCCCGTTCTACAGCAAGCTCTATGCGCTTTAGAACGATTATTACCCCAGGAGACCTGAGAACATTCAAAAACATTCTCGACTTCCCGGGAAGCACACA